CCTAACATATTTTGTTTGAGCTCTTTGGTTTCCTTTAGCTGTGCTTGTCTTGACTGGTCCTCTCTCCAGTCCGCTTCACTCCGACTGGTCCGCTTCCCGTCTCCTGCAGTCCGTGCATACAGGTAACATCGTTCCCCTTTCCCTTCCCTCTTCTCCATTGAGGGCAATGTCGATCTTAAGTGTGGAGGGATGTTTATCGTTTGACTGCATTAGATTTGTTTGTGTGCTTGGAGCCTAGTCCACTGTCCAAATTTATAAATTTGAGGGCTCCAAGTACGTGTTTCCATTCAATTGCCTGCTCAGTATGCTTTGAATTGACAGTCTTTATAGTAATATGCAACCTAGGGAGGTAGTGTAGCACTATGGAGGATGTTGATGCATTTAAGAAATCTCATTTCTTCTTCATATTGTGTTGGTTGATTGAGTGAATTAGTGATCTTAGGACCCTTGAATTGTGTGGTGTTGTGGACTCTCTACCTGTCATGGACTCTTGTTTCATGTTTTGAGTTTAACAGGTGCTCGAAAATGTGCTTCAAAATAACGTCTCCCGTGCGAATAGGGCGAAAGTGTGTAAGGGGAGACGGGAATCCGTTCCCAATTTCCACCTACTACCTCCAGTCCCCTTACATGTCTTTCCCCCGCACGAGGCTCGAGACATCCGCTCCTGGCATGGCCGGTAAGAGCCGGGCTCCCGTAAAACCTCTGCTAGGTGGGAGTCCCCATTTTCTGAAAAGTAGGTTGGGACCCTTGAAAAAAAAATAACAGAAAAAAAAACAAAACAGAAAGAAAAGGGGTTCCAACCATCTTCAAGAAGAAAATAGAGCACCTTGAAAAATGTGAGTCCATGATCCTTTGTTTTTTAGAATCTTTTCATCCACAATTCATTTGTCCTCTGTTCACTATTTGCCATGATGCCGACTCGATACTAGTGCTCTCGCCGAAGAAGCTATGCGATGACTTGTGCGTCGGTTGACCTCGTAAGCTGCTAAATGATCTAGGAAGTCCTCTACCTATGATCTGGGTTGTTTGTTGCTATAGAGGTCTGGAGTGTTGCATTGGTTTGAATTAGGTTTGCTTGGGGACAAGCAAACGGTTAAGTGTGGGGGAGTTTGATAGACCGATAATTACACATGTTTTCACCCCTGTTCTTACACCGTTTGAGATGTGGTTTCTCGTGTTTTAGACCGATTTCACGCTAGGTTGTGCTTGTTTGTGATATTTCAGGTCCTGGCAAGTGAATGAAGGTTTAGGAGCGAGTTCGGGGTCGATTGGGCGAAGATCGGGCGCGAGGCAAGTCACAAAGGAAGCCACACGGGCACACCCACAACCCACACGACCGTGCAAGTGACCAGTTTGGCCGTGTGGGATTGTGCGAGAGCAAACACGGGCAGAGCAGAAAATCCACACGGCCGTGTGAGGATGCATTTTGGCCGTGTGGAATTCTGCGAGGCTTCACACGGCCAGGCTGGGTGAGCTACACGGCCGTGTGACCCTGGCCGTGTAAGAAGCCTGGAATTCAACTAATCGATACGCAGCGTTTGGAGCCACACGGGCAACTGGGTGGGCCACACGGCCGTGTGGCCGGCCTGTGTGAGTCGAGATTTTCTGGTTTAAGCCAATTTCCAGCCACAAGTCGAGGGGATTCGAGTTTTAGAGAGACAGAGCGATTCCTAGAGAGAGAAAGTGACGAACAAGAGTCTCCAAGTGCCCTAGCTTGATCTTCATCACCATTGGAGGCCAGTTTGAGCTTGGAGAAGTGCCGATCAACGTCCAGGAGCAAGAATCCATCCTTCACAGTATGAATTCCGCGTCTGATTCTGCTTTTGCTTCTTTCTCCATGGAGTAGTTCTCCCATTCATCTGGGTATGGAGAACCCTAGATTTGTATGTTACGTTTGATTGTATGAACCCAAGTACTGATTCTATGATTTGATTATATTCGATTGAGGTTTGAATGATTGAATGACTTGAATCCTGATCAAATTCCTGTTGTTTCTGCTTTAACCTAGAATGAGAATATCTGCCTAGGTTGATAGAGCATCCTTGATTGAAGGTAGGGAGTTGGTGACTTTAGTCGAGGAGCCAACTCACTATTTTGTACCGGATTCACTTCGGTAGTGGAGGTTTTGTTCATAGGGCCTCAATCTGTTTACTCCGGTGGAGGTTAGTCGCCCGCTAGAGACTCAGATTAAGAGGGTCTGAAGACCTTTAGTCGAGACTTCAGGTTGTTTAAGAACCTTCCGCAGTATAACTATCATAGAGACTGAACTTGGTAATTACAATCCGGCTTAACTGCAGTCTAGGGGGAACCATATCCGGGTGACCTCTCTTAACTTGAATACAACCGTTTACTTGCTTTGTTAGTTTGTTAGTTCAGACTTGCATTAAAGTTTCATTGTTAGATAACAAGAATTCACTGAGTAGTCATCAAATCTAGGACCCGGGTTGACATTTAAACCCAAACCCGCTATACTATGCTTTAGGAAGTGGTTTCACTTGGCCAATTCCTGGAGTGACAGTAGAAGTGAGTCAGCGGGGCACATGCTTTCATTACCAAAGGTTTCTGATTTCTTTGCAAGGTTAATAGAAAGAGTTTCCCCAAAAAGTTATCAGCAAGCGCCTTTATGGACAAAGTTCAAATCTTGTGATGGCATCGAAGTGGGAACTTGGTTATTCAAGCAAGCATGAGGTGGTTTGCTCGGGAAATTAAGGCAAAAGTGGGCTGACTGGTCGATTGAGATAGCGGGTTTGCTTTTTCTCTCTACTATGAGAGCTATTTTCTTAAGCAAGCTCGTGTTGTTACCGTCGGATTCAGGGCGTCCAAATAACGACCAAATGGTTCATTTAGTTATATTTGCCAAGCAAGCTGCTCTAATTTTATTCAAGCAAGTACGAGTGTGGCATTTGGAAGCGAGTATGGAAATTTGGAGCAAAATCAGAGCCAGTTCCGACGGAAGTAAGGTGAGTGTAAAGGGGGTAAATTCTACGCCTTACGTATTCTTTTAAAGTATTATGATTTTAAGTATTTTAGCGAATTGGTTACCGTTGCTTGATTATGTGTGTGATTGAATATTTGTGCCTTGCTTGAGCTATGATTTGAGGTGATTTTGTGCTATTTTTCTTAAAGCGTTATGTTTGAGTTATTGTTAAAGTTTAAGAAACAAGCTCTTTTTAAGAAGTAACTCACCTTCAAGAAGGTGAAGTCGTTTTAAGTGTTTTTAGTCGCTAGCGCCAGTCCATTGCCATTTGAGATTTTCAGAGAGAGCAGCAGTTATGCTCTTGAGATCTTTGAGACAGAGCAGCAGTTATGCTCTTGAGACTTTTAAGATGAGCAGCAGTTATGCTCTTGAGAATCGTGGTGAAGGGCCACCACGATAAGTTTAAGATGTTAGGGGGATGAATTGTTACGACTTCCCTAACTAAGTTTAAGTTTAAGGAAAGCCTGGATGGCTTCTCATACATATGAGTTGGCAACCGGACTAGCTAGTGAGGAATCATAGTGTCGGTCAAGTATTTAAGTGAAGCTTTGAGATTTAAGAATGGAGTAGCAGTAACTCCCGTACAGTATAAAGAGTTAAGCTTTTTAATAGTGGAAGTGCAAAACAACTTCCACTCAGTTAAGAAAAAAGATAAAGTATAATAAGATGTTAAACGTAAGGGCGTAGACTGACCCCATCTCACTCACCAGTTATAAGAGTTAGAGGAGCAGTTAGAGAGCAGCGGGATCGAGAGGAACAGTTCGAGTGAAGCTAGCTAGAGGAGGACGGTACGAGCGTCACAAAGGATGTCTAGTCAGAGTTTTTCACACAAGCAGCAACACCTGAGGCTAGTTAGTTATTATGTTCTATGATTATGAGTATAGACTGGAGATCAAGTTGAGTTTTTAAAGTTTGATTTTAAATTGCCCACATGTTAGGGCTTTGCTTTGAACTACAAGTGTGTGTTTTCAGTATTTTATTTATGAAAAATTTTCCCAGTTGCAATTCAAGACTTGGGTATTTTATTTTATCAAGACCATTTTAGTAAAAGTAGTACCCGGCCGCGTTAGGGTGTTACATTTTGGTATCAGAGCCGGTCTTCCTATGTTCCTTGGTCTCCAAGGAATACTGGAATATCGGTCTCAGTTTTCAAGGTTTTTGTTTTTAAAGGAAAGAAAAAAATGAGTCAAGGATCTTCTTTTAAGAGTTTATAGAATCTCCAGTCTACTCTAATCATAATAAGGTGAATAACTATGACAACACGACACTACGAGAAGGTAGCACGAGGGTGCAATTGGTTTAAGAATAAGCTAGGACGCGGGTTAAGTTAACTCGTCGTGGGACGCCAAATAAGAGATTGAGGCGTATGACGATCGTTAGTATGAGAGGAAGGAAGCAAGAAATGTGGCCAACTCTATTAGAATTTCAAGATACGAGGAAGAGAAAGGAGGAACGTTTTAAGTTGGCCTATGGGGGTATGATCAAATGTCCACAGACATCAACTCTAAACACTAGCAAAGCGGTGCCAATCGTAATGAAATAAATCAAGGATTTTGAAGGAGCTGAGAGGGTAGTACGAGGATTTTACTACTAGGAAACAAGTGGATGATCTAATAAGCTAAGACAAACAAAGGGGAGAAGTATGAATCTCCAAAGGAAGAGGAACAATCACCAGATGCCAGTAGCTATGATAATAGGATGATGTTAGGGTCTTTGGTCCTAAGCAGTGGGAAGTGGGCAACGGGTCAAGAAACGAAGAGGTAACCTGAGAAGTCCCTCGGCTAGTTTTGTGGTCGTTGGCTCAACGCCATTACCACACAGTGACAAGGAGTAGAGGAATGTTTAGACTTTAAGAAAAGCTAGGGTAGTATAAATGAAGCAAAGGAGGAAATAAGTAGGTTACAGGGAGTATGAAAAGATGTCAAGAAGTCAACAGGTCAAGGAGGAGAGGAGGCATGGTCACCTACATATGACGATAAAGGAACCCTTATAGATAAACTACCTCACTAGAGAAGAGCGTACATGACCCTGGGGAGTTAGGCTGATAGCAAGCCTTTAAAAGGAACAAGACAAGCAACGAGATAAATTATGTAGAGGTTGAGGTTAGATCAGGCATGCTATACACCTGTCAAGTGCAAGCTAGAGGACAAGGTATGAGAAGGGGTTGAGAGACCCTGCAAATTTCACTGATCAATGAGAATCAGAAAATCGTGGAATTTCAAGGAATCCATGGGGAAATTCTAAAGTGGGAACTAGAGGGCCAATAGCGGGAGTCTCGGAACCAACCGTAGGAGTAAATCATTCAATCAACCGGGTATAGACAAGCAAGTACAACGTTCATTAGAAGTTCTAATGAAAGTTGGAGAATTCGAGGAAGAGTCTAAACGGTCGTAATGAAGAGAGGTTGCGAACAATACCATAGGAAGAGCAACAAAAAAAGCCAGAGGGAGTTTGATGAGATTTCAAGAAGTCAATGGGTCAAGTCTCAGGTGAGTCGAGGACAAGAGCTGCACAAAGAGGTACGATGAGGAAAAGCATCACTGGGAAGGAGGAAATCATTCAGTTACCTTATCCAAGGTGCCCCACTCTGAGCGAGTACGGCATAGTAGGATGTCATCCATAAAAGAAGGCCAATTAAGGATAAATTAGTGATATTTAGTTAAGCCACTAAGAGCCAGGACTAAGAGATTAAGGCTATGTACAAGCATCGGTCGAGACAAAAGACATGGAATGAGTTATGTTAAAGGTTACCATGGGCAAGCCACCATTGGAAGTTGTGACCTAAAACAACAAGGAGAAGATACTCAACAGAGTTTGGTGACCGAAAATGGTACAAAGCAGCAACAGAAGGGTGGTAAAAGTAAAGAAGCAAGGAGAACACCATAGGACGCTATAGGAAATAAAAAAAAGGGTGGTTGTCGACCGGACAATGAATGCGTGAAGGAAGATAGTTGGGACGTGGTCAAGCACCATCATGAGTAGAAGTCGTGGGTGTCATCTGTCAAGTCTACCTAGAGAAAGTTTCTAGTGGAAATGTTGGCTCTGAGGTATGGCGAGGAGCTACTAAACTGAGTAGATCAAAGCTAGTATCAAGCATTGATGAAGGAGTTGTGGAAGTAAGGAGGAAAGCACAAGCTATAATGAAAGTTATGGTGAAAAGGGTGGTAGTTGATAAAACGACAAATTAAGGGAGAAAGATAGTTTGGAAGAGCCAACGAAAGAATACGAAGGTCAATAAGAAAGCATTAGGTTGACCACCAAGTAGAGAACAATCAATCCATAGGAAGTCCATCAAGAAAGTAAGGTGGAATCGTGGTCGTTAAGACTAGTCAAAGGGAGAACCTTATAATTCAAGGACTAAAGGTACATTAGTAAGAAGAGAATATGAGAACCTAGATGACTATATCGAGAATAAAGGACGTCATCTAGAACTAGCGAGTAATATCAAGAAGAAGAGACACGAGTAACGAAGTAAGAGGGATATGAGTTTAGGGAACCTGCTAGGATACCCAAAGTGAAACTAAGATCTCCTTTGTTGGTAAAAGGTGTCAATCTCTCGGGTAAAACCTTATTGGACGGGGAAACCGTACGAGGAGTTTTATCTAGGGTCTGAGAGTGGCAAAATGGATATTACAAGAACATAAAATTCAAGCAGCGATAAGTAAGTGCTAAGTTAGGCGCCAGGAGTGAACAATTAAGCCAGAGAGAATGCAATGATTCTTGAAAGGAATCATAAAGGTGATCGCAAGCTAGAGAAAGATGAAAAGGATGCCTCTATTGCATACAGGAAGTAAAAGCTGTAATACGAGGTCTCGACGTTAAGAAAGAAGTAACGAGGAGATGACCTTTCAGTTTATGATCAAAGGATAAGATTAAGTATCAAGGAAGGAAGTAAGAGATATAAGTTAGGAGAGTTTTGGCGATCGAACAAAAAGGAGATCACGCTGCCATAAGTAATCTTGGGGTTCGAAGTGGTATTACCTTCTTATGTACCAAATGATGGAGATAGCGGATGCCCAAAACACGTTCAAAGTAAATGACCATGTGAAGGGGGTAAGTAGCATCAGACAACAGGGCATTGCCGAGCAAGTCGAACACTCACCATGAACGTTTACGTCATGGATTTCAAAGGTGTGCATCAAGAATCGTGAAGAGGAGAACATTATAGGTCAAGATACGGGTGAATTGTTAGACAATGTTGCTTAAGAAATTGTAAGGGGGGGATCTTGAGAAACCACGGTGATCACAAGAGGTTTTGAGTAAAGCACCACAACATCGAAGCCGTATATGGGTGGAGAATTTCATAGTTGTATCGAGCTAATAACTAGCTAGGCAAGTTGCCTGCGAGAAATGGTTGAACTACCAGTCTTCTAAAATCACATCATATCGAAGGGAAGGATGTATAGCTCAGTGTCGCACACATTAAGGAGGTACAGTTCTTTGCAGATAGATTATCACAAGTGAGACTTGAGGTCACCACAGAGAACAAATTTCGAGGGCGAAATTTTCGTAAGTGGGGTGGAAATGTGATACCTCAATTTGGATCTAGATTAAACAACCAACTACTGAATGAGTTGGACCATGAATCATATCGAATCGAAATTTTGTTTAGCATGCGACCAGGCCAAGTTGCTTAGAATTAAAAGGGCAATGAGTCACTCAAGTTACACAAGTGCTGCAAGCTAAGAGAGAGTACTTGTTATGGTCGAGAAGGGATATAAGAGGAGCAGTTTCATTATGCGAGGTGCGCAAGGAGCACCATGGAAGCAGATATAGTCAAAATAATTTTTGGGGCAAGGGAGTACAAGGCCGGTGTTAAAGGAGAGATGCGTTCCGAACAAATTTCGGGAATGAAATTTTTATAAGAGTGGAGGAAATGTAACACCCCGAATTTTGGGGTTCAGGTTCGACCAAAATAAGTGAACGGTTGGGTTAACGGTTACGTACGAAGGATTATGATTGCGGGCTAGGAATAATAATAATAATAACATTATTATTATTATTATAAAAAAATTAAAGTATGGGACGGGAGGGCCGAGCGGCCACAATCCCAAACCCCTCCCTCGTTATTTTGTTTCCACCAGCGGCAGGCAGGAGAGGAGAACCGCCGCCTCATTGATTTCCCAAAAACCCTCGCCAATCCGAGATCATGTACAGGTCTGCTGTTGCCGCCAGGCTGCTGAGAGATACAGCCGCCGCACAAAAAGGTCCTGGTTGGCTAAGTTCACTCAATCATTCCAGGCAGTTTGCTCATTCTTTACCCTTCGCAACCGTAGATGCTGAAGAGTTATCGGGTGCTAGACCAGCTGAAGTACAAAACCGGGTGCAAGGAAAATGGGGAGGATCTTCTAGGTGGAACACAATTGTGGATCCTTTTAACGAGGAACCATTTATTAGAGTTGCTGAAGTAGATGAGAAAGGCATCAGGCCATTTGTGGAGAGCTTGTCCAATTGTCCTAAGCATGGGCTGCACAATCCATTTAAGTTGCCTGAGAGGTATCTTCTTTATGGGAACATATCCTCGAAGGCGGGGCACATGCTTTCATTACCAAAGGTTATTGATTTCTTCGCAAGGATAATACAAAGAGTTTCCCCAAAAAGTTATCAGCAAGCGCCTTTATGGACAAAGTTCAAATCTTGTGATGGCATCAAAGTGGGAACTTGGTTATTCAAGCAAGCATGAGGTGGTTTGCTCGAGAAATTAAGGCAAAAGCGGGCTGACTGGTCGATTGAGACAGCGGGTTTGCTTTTTCTCTCTACTATGAGAGCTATTTGCTTAAGCAAGCTCGTGTTGTTACCGGTGGATTCAGGGCGGCCAAATAACGACTAAATGGTTCATTTAGTTCTATTTGCCAAGCAAGCTGTTCCAATTTTATTCAAGCAAGTACGAGTGTGGTATTTGGAAGTGAGTATGGAAACTTTGGAGCAAAATCAGAGCCAGTTCCGACGGAAGTAAGGTGAGTGTAAAGGAGGAAATTCTACGCCTTACGTATTCTTTTAGAGTATTATGATTTTAAGTATTTTAGCGAATTGGTTACCGTTGCTTGATTATGTGTGTGATTGATTATTTATGCCTTGCTTGAGCTATGATTTGAGGTGATTTTGTGCTATTTACCTTAAAGCGTTATGTTTGAGTTATTGTTAAAGTTTAAGAAACAAGCTCTTTTTAAGAAGTAACTCACCTTCAAGAAGGTGAAGTCGTTTTAAGTGTTTTTAGTCACTAGCGCCAGTCCGTTGCCATTTGAGATTTTCAGAGAGAGCAGCAGTTATGCTCTTGAGATCTTTGAGACAGAGCAGCAGTTATGCTCTTGAGACTTTTAAGATGAGCAGCAGTTATGCTCTTGAGAAGAGTTTAAGATGTTAGGGGGATGAATCGTTACGACTTCCCTAACTAAGTTTAAGTTTAAGGAAAGCCTGGATGGCTTCTCATACATATGAGTTGGCAACCGGACTAGCTAGTGAGGAATCATAGTGTCGGTCAAGTATTTAAGTCAAGCTTTGAGATTTAAGAATGGAGTAACAGTAACTCCCGTACAGTATAAAGAGTTAAGCTTTTTAATAGTGGAAGTGCAAAACAACTTCCACTCAGTTAAGAAAAAAGATAAAGTATAATAAGATGTTAAACGTAAGGGCGTAGACTGACCCCATCTCACTCACCAGTTATAAGAGTTAGAGGAGCAGTTAGAGAGCAGCGGGATCGAGAGGAACAGTTCGAGTGAAGCTAGCTAGAGGAGGATGGTACGAGCGTCACAGAGGATGTCTAGTCAGAGTTTTTCACACAAGCAGCAACACCTGAGGCTTGTTAGTTATTATGTTCTATGATTATGAGTATAGACTGGAGATCAAGTTGAGTTTTTAAAGTTTGAGTTTAAATTGCCCACATGTTAGGGCTTTACTTTGAACTACAAGTGTGTGTTTTCAGTATTTTATTTATGAAAATTTTTCCCAGTTGCAATTCAAGACTTGAGTATTTTATTTTATCAAGGCCATTTTAGTAAAAGTAGTACCCGGCCGGGTTAGGGTGTTACAAAAATGCTTCAGTTTCTATAAAAAAAAGTATAGTGTGCAAAAACATTAAAAATGGTAAAGAAAGGTAAAGACGTAAAAGAAGGTCAAAAACGCATTTCTGATACGTTTCCAGCTAAAGAAGTTTCATCCAATTTCACACCTTCTCTGTCTAGTATTGTCTTCTGACAAGATAGAGATCACAACATCGATCCCTATGTTCAAATTGACCCACAACAATTCTTTAACCATTCCTCAAAGTTTGAGGACGACCGAACGGTTGGTTTCTATGGAATCCTCACCGGAACCAACTACCCAGCTATAAGAAAATAAGGTTGCACCCTGTCTGAAGAAGCAAAGATCATAACAACGATCCCAACAGTATGATTGGATCCCAGAAAGCATGAAACGAATCCTTAAAATTTGAGGATGATCCAACAGTGGATTCTTTTGGAATCCCCTCGTGAACTCACTGCATTGCTGCAAATTGATTTGAGCATGACGTATGACATGTTCAAGAGGGATGAGGATGTGCAACTTAAGTGATTAATATTTACTAATATGCTGATTTCTCGCATTTAATGGATGAAGCTCTTATGAAAAAAAAAGCCTCGGTAATCTTGTTTAATTTGATATTGAAATAAATTGGTGCTAATTGGGTGTAGTTATTAATCGGATAGACTTTTTTTATTAATGAAGAAGCCTCATTATTCCCTTATTGCATTGTTGGCTTAGTTGTACGTTTTCTCCACTATTAAAAAATTTTCAATTTAGATTATCTGCATGAGTAGTGACCCTTTTAAATGAGATGGGTATTTGTTGAAGATTAATTAGATTATACACAAAAGCTTACGCTTTTATGTTTTACTTTTATATTTTTACTCATGTTTCTGCTTCTACATAGAAACGCGCATTTGATTACATTGTCGGCAGTAGAGTCGGATGAGAAGGCTAGATATGGGCAGTGGATGCAGATATCTCACTAATCATGGAGTGGAATCGTGAATATGGAAAAAGGGGTGTTGACCAAAGGTAAGTAGGACAATCTTCGCAATAATGATACTACAAATAGCGGTAAAACATGAACACGAGTGGCTCGCAAAAGGAAATTGAGTACAAACAAAACTTCTCAAATTACAAGACTAGGCAACATCAACCAACAAATGAAAAGAAATCCAGGGGACCGAGAAAGACAAGGTGAAGACTATAATAGGTTGTTATGAGTTATGACAACAAGAGTGACAGTTGTCTAGTTAGATAGAGTTTGTAAGTTTATTAGGTTCACTTTTTCCTTTTATGTATTATTGCTTACTTCTCTTCAAAAACTCTATAAAAGAAATATAAATACATTCTTCTCGATTCTAAGTTTTTGCAAGGAAGAAGAAATTGATAGGAAGGAAGTCCCCAAAATTTTATTTTGTTCCAATTGAAGACTGAAAATAACTTTATATACACCAACACTTTATAAAAAAAAATTACACCAATTTTCATTAATAAAATCGTCCAAAGAGATTAATAATAAGAAAATCTAATGATTAACCTGACAAAATTATTTTTCACCATGAATGCCACGCAGGGGCGGAGCTACAGCAGGGCTCCGGGGGGGTGTCTCGGCCCCCCCGAGAATCTTGAAAGTTGCGTATAAAATACTAGGGTAATTTATGTATAAATAAAATGAAATGATTAAAATGTTCTAGTATGCATTAATTTGATAAAGCAGCCTTCTAGTGGTAGCGGAAAGTAGTTTGCTTTCCTCTCACTAGCTTCTTGGTTCGATTCTCATGCAAAGCAAGTAATTTTTGCCAGCTGTATCCCCTATCGATTTCTTTTAACTACTCCCAGGGAAGCAATACTTTTAGCAGCTTTAAGCATATGTATATACAACAACAATTTCTATTAAATACTCTTAATTATGAAAACATATGTGCAATACAATATCGAAATGTATTGTTAATTATTATTTTATATTGAACTCAATGCTTAAAAAGGTAGTTTACAAAGTGATGTTAATCGTTTTAATGAATAATTTGTGACGTTGTAGTAATATAAAATTAATTTTTAAAAATTTTAAGTCATTTTGCGATAATATACAAAAATATTCCCCCCCCCCCCCCGATCGTCGATTCCTGGCTCCGCCCCTGATGCCACGAGTTTTAGAAGTTCGAAACAAAACTAATGCTGATAATAACATGTCTGCATATAAAATTCATTCATCACACATTCTCACCCTATAAATTCAATAGAGCGAATTAGTAAAGTCCTTCTTTGCGCCAATTATGATAAAACGCATGTCTTGTCTCTCTGTCAAGGGAAGAGTGACGGAAACGTGTAGCTGAACATTATTGCATATCAAATGAAGAATTGAGCGAGGGACGGTGCTCTGCTCTGTAAGTTTGGCTTGCTTTTTTTTTATGGTTAGTGTGATTAATTAATAAATTAATTAAATTTTCGTGTGGGGAAAAATCTCACTGCATTTTGGGGTGGTTTTTATCGTTAGTTTGTTAGATCTTTACATTCAATTCTTGGTAGTTGACGGAAGAAAAATGAAATCGAAACACCTTATGTTGTCAAGAGCAGGGCAACATGGAGAGAGTCCGTTTTCCTTTTTCCATGTATTATATATTTGTGGATGCAAAGAAGCAAAACACTCTCAGATCTCCCCTCATCATTCGGCTGTAGAACCTCTCCCCTTCCCTATTTCTGTCAACCTTTTCCCCTCTGCTCTCCATTCTCAACTATTAGCTCTTTGGCTCTCATCTTTGACCCTTATGTTCCCTCTCTCTAGCTCTCTCTCTCTCTCTCTCTCTCCCCCTATCTCTCTCGCTTACCCTAAGAAATCATTTACAAGGTAAAGTTTCATCCTTTACTTTTTATGCCGTTGATATAATCTCTACCTTTTTTCGTATATTGTTTTGGGCGAGGAATGCGTGTTTGCCTGCATATGGGTAGTTTTGTTATGTGATTCAACGATGTGGGGTTAGTTTAGTTTTTTGAAGTAGTTTGTTTGTTGGTGTGATCTTGGCGACATGAATAAAATTTTGGGATTGTGAATTTGCAGATCTATGACTGATGGGCGTATAGATATATTTATTATTGTTCAATATATTTGTTCTTGAATTGTTTGTTAAAATCCTCCAGTTTTACAGTCCTTTCCATATGGTGCCTATTTTATGGGTGATTTCAGTTATCAAGATTCTTATGCTTTTAATCAACTATGAAAATTGAGATTAGCTCTTCTATGATTCCAGAAATTCGATAATTTACGTTTCTAAGTAGATGCAATTGTTTGATCTAATGATACAAATAATAGATCGAGTTGATTAACAATGAGGTTTGATATATTGGCTTTGATTTCAGGAGATTTCATAGGGTTTATAAAGAATGGTGAAGATATGTTGCATAGGAGCTGGCTATGTCGGCGGCCCAACAATGGCCGTGATAGCACTAAAATGCCCCAAAGTTCAAGTCTCTGTTGTTGACATCTCCACTCCTAGGATCACCGCTTGGAATAGTGAACACCTCCCCATATACGAGCCAGGCCTCGACGATGTGGTCAAACAATGCAGGGGTAAAAACCTCTTCTTCAGCAATGATGTAGAGAAACTTGTCGCCGAGGCTGACATCGTCTTCGTCTCTGTCAACACCCCAACCAAAACTCAAGGCCTTGGTGCTGGCAAAGCTGCCGATCTCACCTACTGGGAGAGCGCCGCTCGCATGATTGCTGATGTATCCAAATCAGACAAGATTGTGGTGGAGAAATCCACAGTCCCCGTGAAAACTGCAGAGGCAATCGAGAGGATTCTGACCCACAACAACAAAGGAATCAACTTCCAAATTCTCTCCAATCCGGAATTCCTTGCTGAGGGAACCGCAATTCAGGACCTCTTCAATCCCGATCGTGTCCTCATTGGTGGTAGAGAGACTCCCGGTGGACAAAAAGCAATTGCAACATTGAGGGATGTGTATGCTCATTGGGTTCCAGTGGAGAAAATCATTTGCACAAATCTATGGTCTGCTGAACTTTCAAAGCTTGCAGCCAATGCCTTCTTAGCACAGAGGATTTCGTCGGTCAATGCCATGTCAGCACTGTGCGAAGCCACTGGTGCAGATGTCACGCAGGTTTCACATGCTGTCGGTAAAGACACAAGAATTGGTCCCAAGTTCTTGAATGCAAGTGTCGGGTTTGGTGGTTCGTGTTTCCAAAAAGATATCCTTAACTTGGTCTACATTTGTGAGTGCCATGGACTTGCTGAGGTGGCAAACTACTGGAAACAGGTGATCAAGATTAATGACTACCAGAAGACAAGATTCGTGAACAGGATCGTTTCATCGATGTTCAATACTGTGTCTGGAAAAAAAATTGCAATCCTAGGTTTTGCCTTCAAAAAGGATACCGGAGATACAAGGGAGACGCCAGCAATTGATGTTTGCAAAGGGTTGATTGGTGACAAGGCCAAGATTAGCATTTACGATCCTCAAGTTCAGGAGGAGCAAATTACAAGGGATTTGTCATTGAAGAAGTTTGATTGGGACCATCCAGCTCATCTCCAGCCTATGAACCCAACCTCGGTGAAAGAGGTTACTTGTGTCAGGGATGCTTATGAGGCGACAAAGGGAGCTCATGGGATCTGTATTTTGACTGAGTGGGATGCGTTTAAGTCGCTTGATTACCAAAAGATCTTTGATGGAATGGAGAAGCCTGCATTTGTGTTTGATGGACGGAATGTTGTTGATGCTGAGAAATTGAGGAATATTGGGTTTATTGTTTATGCTATTGGGAAGCCTTTGGATGCTTGGCTGAAGGATATGCCGGCTGTGGCTTAGAAGAACAAGCATAAGAAACACCAAAGATGGAAGGAAGAAGTTTTCAAAGTTCAAATTTTTTTTATCATTCATTTAGTAACATGTTTTTCTCTTTTTGTTTTTAATTATGTTTTGAATCATAGCATCTGGGATTAATGTTGCATTACTGCTTACATTGTATTTTGGAGGGTTTATGGACATTATGTTGAGTGTTTGTGGAAACAATATAGTGGTAGTAGAAAATATTATTCAAGATTATATAGTATTGTTTGTCAACTATTGCTTTGAATAAAATGGGTGGTTCATTATACTTCAATTTACACATCTTGTTTCTTTATGGATATATTATTGTATTTTTCATGCTCCAAAATGTTAGAAATGATATTGAATTACTCCACATGATTTTAATTTAAAGATATCCCGCCTTGAAGGACTAAAAAGTGGGGGATTTGACACCCTTAATCTAGAACAAGATAACGTTTAAGCCACCTAGTCGGTTTGCAACGTGCAAATCACCTAAAGGGTTGCAACATGAAAACCGAGGGAAAAAGGGTTTGTCACATGCAAAATAAATAAAATTATTATTTTTAAATATATTATATTTATTCAGAATTTAAAATATCATATTTGCTATTTTTTGTAATTATATTTTTCTCTCTCCCAAGTCTCCATCTCTCGCACTTCTAGTCCATGGCCGCCTCTCTGCCTTCCTTTGATAGACTTCCTACAACCACCGTCCTCCGACCACCTAACTAAACACTAATGCACTTGGGAGAAAGATAAAAATCATTACTACTTAACCATTATCAGTGCGTTTGGGAGAAAGACAAAATATGTACCAACGTTTGGAAGGAAGAGCTCATATATGAGTTAAAAAAAGACAAAAGCAGTACCACTGTATCCGGGAAAAAGACAAACCAATACAAGTGCGTTTGAGAGGAGGAGCTAGGATATGAGTTTTGGAAAATCCTAAAGGAAACTCAATACAATATTGTTCCTTTCAACAAATGAGTCAGACCATGCTTAACAATTAATAACTTAACTGTTAACTATGTAACCGATCATCACCATCAATATCGATTGACCTTGTCACTATCCAGATAAATTGATTTCAATTTTAAAATGTCTACATCAATAAGAAGTTGTAGTTGTGTTTTCATATGACCGGTAAAGGTGGACCGAAGTATCAAACGATCGACCATAGTATCACGGTCGACCCGTAGGTGTGAAAGTAGCTGATCGACCATTGCCTATTTTTGTCTCATCGGACTTAATCGATTGGTACGTAGTTAACCGCTAACTCGTTGTTGCTATCCACTAAACCTCTGGTAACTCGATAGGAGCATTGTTCTTTTATTTACAACTAAGTCACATCATGATTAACGGTTAACAGCTAATCATTAATAGTATAACCAACCATCACCCTTAATAACGGTTGACCTCGTCACTACCCATATCAACTAATTTCAATTGAAAATATCTTCAAGAATAAGTTATAGTTGTATTTCAATATGATCGGCAAAGGTCGACCAAGATATCATAAGACAATTTTTTGCTTGGGTTTAACCTGTAATCCACCCTTATTTTGTTATCCAGATTCATCATATTAAACAATTCAAATAACTCGTATTGGGAGTTTAACCCAAGTCACCAAAGTAAAGTCTAGATGACATGTTTTATGAGATGAGTTCAGTATGTTGGGGACCCTTTTGTAATAGTTTATTACTTAGGGTTCCATTCTGTTATTTACCATTATGTTGCTCCACGTAACTTGTTGAGGAGCTAGTATATTTACTGTACACGGCTGTAGCCGAAAACCTAAGACACAGAGACACGAGTTTGATTCTTCGAGAGCTTGCTCTCCGTGGATTAGTCCCGTTCAGTTGAACGGGGATACCACGTAAACCCTGGTGTTGTGCGTTTGTTTTCTTTACGCTGCTATCGATCTTTACATGGTATCAGAGCTGTGATTAGATTCACGGTTTATCAATCATGAGTTCAGACGACGAGAAGTCGGGAAAGTCTTCCTCGAAGACAATCAATGAGTCGGGCGACTTCCAGATGGCGCTGCCGCGTATCTGCAACTATGTCGCTCGGACAGTCCGAACAATCTCTTTGTGGGCGAGGTGCTCACGGACAGCAACTATGGGGAATGGGTCACAGATATGACGGATTCCTTGATTGCCAAAGACAAGCTTTGTTTTGTCGATGGATCATTGCCGGCTGCGGCAAACCCTGGTGAACGCGAAGCTCATCGACGCTGCAATGCGATGGTGAAAGGATGGTTAAAGACTTCAATGTCGAAGGAAGTGCGGAACAGCGTTCGTTTCGCGTCAACCGCAAGGGAAATATGGGTTGACCTTCAGTCGCGTTTCGGACAGGGCAGTGCTTCGCGGCTTTACGAGCTAAAAACCACGATTAGCTTCCTTCAACAAGAAAAGGCTTCGGTCTCTGCCTTTTACACACGCTTGCGCGGGCTTTGGGACGAGATCACATCCCTTACGCCATCGCTAGAGTGCACTTGCGCGGGCTGCCACTGCGATGTTAAGAAGCGTCAACGTGAAGTTCGAGAGGGGGAGATGCTTTTTGATTTTCTGATGGGATTAGATGACGTGTTCTCCACCGTCAAATCCCAAATACTGGCGATGAAACCCGTGCCTAGCTTGGCCGAGGCGTATCAGCTCGTCACTAATGATGAGCAGCAGAGGCTCATTGCGAGTAATCGCCGCCCACGTCCTGAGGCGGCAGTCTTCCAAGCTCAGGGGGAGAAGAAGGCAGATCGCTGGGTTCCTCCTCATGATCGAGAGAGGGACAAAGACCGAGGGGATATGGATGGAAGGACACAGGATGCTGAAGGTAAGCCCCGCTGTACGTACTGTCAACGTACTGGGCATGTTCGAGAGACGTGTTACCGTCTCAATGGTTTTTCGCCCAAGACCAATGATGGGAAGGAGCAGTCTAAGCGCCGAGGTGACCGTGGAGTGCGCTCTTCGTCACATGCAGCCCAGGTAGATGTTGCCGAGAGTTCGTTGGCTGGTCTTACAGCGAATCAATTCGCACAGCTCAAGGCTCTTCTTGGCGCGGACCTCAAGCAGCAAGGATCCATTGAGCCATCCTCGAACATGGCAGGTACGTTCTCAGTTCCTTCGTCGAGTTGGGTAATAGATTCTGGTTGCAATGAACATATTGTTAACCAAAATTCATTGTTGGATATCGAGCTGGATTCCTCTCCTGCTCTGCAGGTTAAAATTCCCAATGGGACAGGAGTTAAGGTCCATAGTATTGGGACATCAAAGTTATCTAGTGATTTGTCTTTACGTCGCGTACTTCACGTACCGGATTTTCAGTGCAACTTGCTCTCTGTCAGCAGACTTACAGCTGATCTCCCAGTGGCACTTATATTCTTGAGCGATTTCTGTGTAATTCAGGACTTACCATCCAAGAGGCTGATTGGGATGGGTAAGCATGTTGATGGGCTGTACTATTTGCGGATTCTTGAAGCTGGTCATGCTATGGCGCATTCTGTACGTCGTTCCTTGGATCAGACGGAGCTGTGGCACGCACGGCTTGGACATCCGTCTATGGGAAAGCTCACTCATCTAGAGAAGACTCTTGATTGCTCCTTTGTTCAGAACAAGGAGCCGTGTCGATCTTGTTTACGTGCTAAGCAGACTCGCAGTACTTTTGAGCTCAGTAGCATTAAAACAACATCATGTTTTGAACTTATTCATGTTGACATTTGGGGTAGCTACAAAACTGCCTCTATTTCTGGAGCACACTATTTTTTTGACGATAGTGGACGATTTTAGTCGTGCCGTTTGGGTATTCTTGCTGCGATACAAGAGTGATGTGGGCCGACATTTGTTATACTTTTGTAATATGGTACGGAATCAGTTTGGAGGCAGGTACGAAGGATTCAAGCTAACAATGGTCCGGAGTTCTCTAGTGCTCAACTTACAGCTTATTATGAACAGGAAGGGATCGTTTTGCAGACATCGTGCACGGATACTCCACAGCAAAACGGCGTCGTGGAGCGTAAGCATCGTCATCTCCTTGACACAGCCCGCGCACTTCGATTTCATGCAAACTTGCCCATCAGATTTTGGGGTGAGTGCATTATGACAGCAGCGTATCTTATTAATCGCATGCCTTTAGTTCCCATTGGTCATCGGTCACCCTTCCAGGTACTCTTTGAGAAGGAGCCGAAGTATGATCATCTTCGCAGCTTCGGCTGCCTGGTTTATGCTCGTGACAATCATCATGGGTTACACAAGTTTGGAGCACGAGGGAGGGCTGGCGTGTTCCTTGGTTATCCTTCCACGCAACGTGGCTATCGCATCTATGAACTTGAGACGCGTCACATTTACACGTCTCGGGATGTTCAATTTCTTGAACATGTGTATCCATATAGGGATGTTTCGAGCGGCGTTACTCCGACGCCTGCGTCCGTGTCAATACCTACTCCTGGGACTCCTTTCGACTCAGTTGATCACAGGCCCTCATTTTATGATGAGGATGATGATGCGCTGCGTTCTTCACCCCTTTCTGTTCCTCAACCAGTTTTGGAACCCCCCGCTGCTTCTCTCGACACGGAAAGTTCGCCCGAAGCTCCCACTTCGCCTTGCACCCCAGCGGCGATTGGGACTAGCTCTCCAGGACCATCCACATCGCCTTGTCCTTCGGGAGGTACTTCATCCACGTCACCTGCCGCGTCTCCCACCGAGCCGGTCGAGCCTCTTCCTCCCCGTCGCGGCGACCGCCTTCGGTTTCCTTCCACGCGCCTAGCTGGCTTTGAGGTGGATCTCCCAGGTGCTGCTCATTCAGCCACCGTTCTCTACCCTTTGGATGATTATGTTACTTATCATCGGTTATCCCAAGCACATCATGCCTTCGTAGCTGCTGTAAGTGCTGAGGATGAACCATTGTTCTTTCATCAGGCTGTTCGATTTAAGCATTGGCGTGACGCCATGCAGCGAGAAATTTCTGCCCTCATTGCCAATGGTACGTGGTCTCTAGTTGATTTACCTCCTGGTAAGAAAGTGATCTTGTGCAAATGGGTCTACAAGATAAAGTTCAATCCTGATGGGACTGTTGAGAGGTACAAGGCCCGCCTTGTTGCGAAGGGGTTCACGCAGGTTGAAGGGATAGATTATCATGACACCTTTGCCCCCGTCGCAAAGTTAGTCACTGTTCGTTGTTTACTGGCGGTTGCAGTTGCTCGTGGTTGGCATGTCCACCAGCTTGACGTCAATAATGCTTTTCTCCACGGCGATTTGGACGAGGAAATTTATATGGCTCTCCCGCAAGGCTATGGTAGTCCTGGTGACACGCGGGTGTGCAAGCTCCACAAATCCATCTACGGGCTACGTCAGGCTTCGCGTAGCTGGTATCAGAAGTTCACCCAAGCTCTTCTGGCTTTTGATTTCGTCCAAAGTCGTGCGGATCACGCATTGTTTACTTACCAACATGGTTCTAGCTTTGTTGTTGCACTCATATATGTGGATGACGTCATTCTGGCTGGCAACGATATGGATTTCATTGGTCGTGTTAAGACATATCTTCATGATCGGTTTACCATCAAAGATCTTGGTCCTCTCAAGTATTTCCTCGGGATTGAAGTGGCTCGCTCTCCACGGGGTATGGTGCTTAACCAGCGCAAGTATGTTTTGGATATTTTGGCAGATGCTGGCCTTGAGGGTGCAAAACCGGTTCTCACTCCCATCGAGCAGCAGCATCACATTGGCCGCACGGCTTCTCCCCTGGCATCTGATCCTAGTGCTTATGGCCGTCTGGTTGGACGGCTGCTCTATCTTACGGTTACTCGACCGGACATCGCTTATGTTGTCAATGTCCTTAGTCAGGCCATGCAGGCTCCTACCAAAGCCCACGAGGATGCGGCTGTTCGTGTTCTTCGGTACCTCAAGTCTGCTCCTGGTCGTGGTATTTTCTTTTCGGCCTCAGCTCCTCTTACTTTGACTGCTTTCTGTGACGCGGACTGGGGTGGTTGTCCTTTGACTCGACGATCCACGACTGGCTATTTTATTACTCTTGGTGGCTCTCCTGTTTCTTGGCGCACGAAGAAGCAGACGGTTGTGGCTCGTTCTTCCGCTGAGGCTGAGTATCGCTCCATGGCCAGCACAGTTAGTGAAGTTCTCTGGCTACGTTGGCTTCTCCGTGACCTCGGTGTCGCCCTGGACTCTCCCACTCCACTCCATTGTGATAACCAAGCAGCACTTCACATTGCTGCTAATCCGGTTTTTCACGAGCGTACTAAACATGTGGAGATGGACTGTTACTTCGTGCGTGAGCGTGTGCAATCTGGTGATGTTGCTCCTGCGAAGATTGCTATTGCCGATCAGCCCGCTGATTTGCTTACGAAGGGTTTGAGTGTTGCTCAGTTTCATCATCTCTTCGTCAAGCTCGGACTTCTCGATATTCACTCCTTCGCTTGAGGGGGAGTGTTGGGGACCCTTTTGTAATAGTTTATTACTTAGGGTTCCATTCTGTTATTTACCATTATGTTGCTCCACGTAACTTGTTGAGGAGCTAGTATATTTACTGTACACGGCTGTAGCCGAAAACCCTAAGACACAGAAACACGAGTTTGATTCTTCGAGAGCTTGCTCTCCGTGGATTAGTCCCGTTCAGTTGAACGGGGATACCACGTAAACCCT